GATTCCTTGGGCGGTAACCACGTGACCAAGAAAACCTACACGGTCAAGCCAAAATTCACACTTCTTGAATTTGGCATATAATTTCTCATTCCTCAAAGTTTCAAGTACAATTCGAAGTTGTTCCTCATGTTGCTTCTTGTCTTTTGAGTACACAAGTATGTCGTCAATAAACACTATGACGAACTGATCTAAATGCTGATGGAATGCTCTATTCATGAGATCCATAAATACAGCTGGAGCATTGGTCAAACCAAAAGGCATGACAGTAAATTCATAATGCCCATAACGAGTCCTGAAAGCAGTTTTCGATATATCGCTTGCCCTGATTTTTAGCTGGTGATACCCTGACCTCAAGTCGATCTTTGAAAATACTGCAGCACCCCTTAACTGGTCAAACAAATCTTCTATTCTTGGCAGTGGGTACCTATTTTTGATGGTCAGATGGTTCAATTCCCGATAGTCAATACACATCCTCATACTCCCATCCTTCTTCTTGACAAAAAGTACAGGTGCTCCCTAAGGAGATACACTTGGTCGTATGAAACCTTTCTCCAGTAACTCCTCTAATTGCAACTTCAATTCTTGTAGTTCTTTCGGTGCCATTCGGTACGGGGCCTTCGATACTGGTGCCACTCCAGGAACTAAATCAATTGTAAATTCCACTTGTCTATCTGGTGGAATGCCTGGCAAATCTTCTGGGAATACATCTGCAAAGTCTCGGACGATGTTAATATCGTTAACGGTCATTTCTGTATGTTGAGAACTATTGATGTTAACTAAGAATCCCTGGCATGACTCCTTCCTTAACATCTTTTCTGCTTGCATAGCTAATATTAGGCGCGGTAAAGACTTGAACTTTGCTCCCAAGAAATGAAACTCTTCCTCTCCCAGTTTGTGAAACAATACATCTTTCTCATGACATCGAATGGTCGCATGATTAAGTCCCAACCAATCCATGCCCAAAATAACATCGAAATATTTCATCTCCAAAAGGTATAAGTCTGCTTGTAATATTTTCCCATCAATCTCTAACTTCATAGCCTTAGTCATCAGATTTGTACAAAGAGTTCTTCTTGAAGGGATGCTAACCTCTAATTCATTATTCGTTCTTACACATGCAAAGTTGGACTTAGTGACGAATGATGTAGAGATAAAAGAATTGGTAGCCCCAGAATCAAAAAGTACATAAGCAGGTACATTAGATAATAACAGAATACCTGTTTGCATAATTTATAGTGTTAGACTAACAACCAAGGGGCGGATTTGGAAAGATGTGTAGTCCTAGGTAAAAAAGAACATAAGCAAGTGTGTTAAAATATTAAATAATTTAGTACCTGCTATCACATTCGGATCCTACTCCGCCTCATGCTGATTTAGTGCGAAAACTCGGGCCTTTCCTTTCTTGTTCTTGTCCTGATCATCATCCTTCCTTTTTGGTGGCTCTGTACAGTTGAGAGCAATGTGCCCTGGCTTACCACATCGAAAACACATGTTCTTCCCGAGTAAGCATTCACCCCTGTGGAGTTTATTACACTTAGGACACAGTGTAATATTCCCACTCGCTCCACCAATACGAACTCCTGTGTTTGGCCTTTTACTCTGCCAATTACATCTGTCCTTGTTTGGATCATTCCACTTTCTTTTTCCCGATGACTCCTTGCTCTGCTGGGCATACTGTTCAAATGAGGTCCTCTGATATGAAATAGCATGAGCCCTCTCCAACATTTCACGATATGAGGTGAAACGATGGGACATAATGATCATGCCGATCTCAGGGCGCAGTCCATTCTCGAACCTCCTAATCTTCTTAACTTCTGTATCCACCAAGTGCGGGGCATACCTTGAGAGCTGCTCAAACTGTCTTTCATAATCAGTAAGTGACATACTCCCTTGTCTGAGCTGCAAAAATTCTGATTCCTTGAAATCTCTCAAAGCCTGTGGGAAATATTTTGCCATCACTTCATCTTTAAACTGCTCCCAAGTCAGATTACATTGCTACTCTTCCGTCCATATACGTGAAACAGATTCCCACCAGTGACCAGCTGCTCCAATCAACATAAATTCTGCACATAATACTTTCTGTGCATCCGTACAAGCAATGTGTCGAAATATGCGCTCCAGGCCTCTTATCCACTCTTCGACAACCAGTGGTTCAGAATTACCGTCGAAAGTGGAAGGCTTGTACCTACGAAACTGCTCAACCACTGAGACAGCTCCAGGGGCAAAATGCGGTGCATTCTGCTGTGGCGGTGCATTTTGTGGTGGAGGTGCTTGATTTTGCCTGCTCAACTCTTGTACCGCTCGTAGTAAATCGCGTATCAAATTCGTATGAGTAGGTGGTGCCATTTCCTAAAATTTAATATGAAGTTACCAATCACACTTAGTACTAAGTCTAATAAGTTATAATTATCTATGACAATATATATCATAATTTAGTGGGAAAAATAAACGTGCATATCTTAACATTTAAAGATAAGATATTTAAAGCATTTAAATCTCGCAAAAAGCTTTAAGTACATTTATCTTCTTACCCTTTTTACATACCTTAGAGTCGTTGGAGGGTGGTCGATCGGTGAGTGCCAAAGATCATTCACATATTTCATAACTTTTAATTTAATATTATCATTAAATTCATAAATAATTAAAAAAATATTAACCTTAAACAAATATTATCTAGGAAAACAAGTAAGCAAATAAGCCTTTTATAACATGTGAAAAAAAAGAAAATTCAATATATATATAACATCACACAATTTTATTTTTTTATTTTTTTATTTTTTATCCTACACTGTTCACGTGAACAGTAACAGTACTATTCGCGTGAACAGTACCGAGTACTGTTCACGTGAACGGTCCGGTCACTGTTCACCATAATTTTTTTTTTTTTTTTTGAAACACAAAACTACACAATCATCAAGGTGTATTAAATGTATATATATAGGTAAACCTGCACACACCTTTCAATGTTAAAAGGATGATTTGACCTTTGAATTTCAACATTTTTGGCAATAATTAAATGCTCTGACATAGTATGTCACCTCCAACATTAAACAATTAATTTACCATCAAAAATTATAAAAGTGGGCAGGACTATGGAGTTAAAACACGAGCGTAGTTTCCAACGTATATATTATATAATCCACACACATGCTTATTGATACATTTATATGTCTTTGCACGAATTATAACATATAGGCAGAATCATGCATTTCACGTACAATTAATTCGATCAAATTCTAACACCATGAACAGTACGTGACACTATTCACGAGAACAGTAACCTTACTGTTCATCTTTTTTTTTTTTTTTTTTTTTAAGAAAAAAAAATGAATTTAAAAAGTTTTTTTTTTTTTTTTTTTTAAGGAAAAATAATGCATATTTGCATGCATTCACAAAATTATAAGGGCAATCTTGAAATTTTGAAAACTTAAAGATACCATATGATGAAAAAGGTGGTGGCATTATAATACACGTTTCTTACCTTTTTTTTTTTTTTGTTGCCATTTAATGCACTGTTCACATGAACAGTGCGTGAACAGTGACCCGTCACTGTTCACGTCCCATGAACAGAGCGTGAACAGTGACCCATCACTGTTTACGTCCAATTTTTTTTTTTAAACAAATAATGAGAACCCATGTGAGTCTATAGAAAATTAAACCTATGCTCTGATACCAAACTGTAACGACCCAAAATTTAAAGATTTGGAATCGTTACTAAAACATTTATTTCATAATTAAATAAATTATGTCAAACATTCTACATGAAAATTTTTCTAGTTCCATCTATAAAATAAATAAAGTCTGTGGAAAACATAATTAATTGAACCATGTTCCAAATATTAAACTTCAAATCTAACATGAAGATAAAACTGAAATAACGTAAAAAGAAATAAATAAATAAAACTTGCTAATCATGTTACTCAAAATTTATTTATCTTGAATTTCATAATTTCTGGCATTACAACTCCACCGCATCGCCCGCCAACCAACCGACCCGTTCCAATCTGTGGGGAGTAGGGAAAATGGTGAGTACATGGAAATACTCAGTAGGATATAAAAATTAATGGTGCGATCCCATATAAAAATTTTAAAACATGCATAAAAAAAATCATACCATCTCATATCTTTAAAATCCGGTAGGAGCTCATATCATATCATATCATATTGTTGTACCGGAATGGCCATATCATTCACATCATAACATATCATATTATAACTTTAACTTTCATGAGTATAAAATTCATCAGCATAAAAAAAAATATTTACATGGGACATAAAAATACTGCACCTCATATCCTACCTTATTAGATCGTTAGAATTTTTGGATGACAAAATCCAAGAAATCACGCTCCAAAAATCCTTCTCGCTGCTTCAAGAATTTATATTGTTTGAAATTGACTTCCTATTTTAAATTTCAATACCATAGGTATAAGTATCTATAAACCCTTTTTTTTAAGGTATAACGTAATATTCCTTTTACACAGCATAAATATGGAGTCTGTAATTTACCTGATTTCAACACTCTTCTTTCTCTACAACCGTGTGCTTATACATATGTCTTCTTTTGATATACATCTATAAATATATCCCACATGATCTAATCTAACAAAGTGGGTGTGTAATTGAGGATACGTGTAGTAGTAGGATAGGAGAATGGATAAATTTGGAAAACAAACTTTTTGAAATAAAATAATTGACCAAATCTTGTCAACCAACTTTATCACTCAACAAGCAATACCTCCCCCACACGTGGCCAACAAATTGGAATCAATAAAGTCTCTCTCTCTCTCTCTCTCCCCTCTTATATATATTTATTATTATTAAAATATTCAACCCTAACTTAACAAAGATTCTTCATTCTTTTCACGTGACTTGAGAGAAAATTTAAATTCATTAAATAATCAATTAAAATATAATTGTAAAGCTCTATCTTTCAACCTCGATAATTTGGACTTCGCTAATCCAAATTAACTTTTTCTCGAGCCTAACATGCATGATTAATTACGACCTATCCAACGAGCCCAATATTCATATACTTATTATCGCTCCATTAGTATCTACATTTTAAGCCAAATGAAATCGAAATTTACTATATATATACTTTAGTCCCTAAACTTTCAAAACATTAAAATATAGCATAAATAAAATTAAATTATATTCTATAAAATTTCGGGATATTATAGTGTACATGTACCAAGGTTCCTACTGATTGAACTTTGCTATTTGTACACTAATTTTTGACACATTGTTTGATACTTGCACTATTGTCAGGTGTCAATTGGATGGAAAACTATTTGAAAATCATACTGTCTAACGGGGTAATGTCATGAGGCAAAGTGCAAATTAAAGTGTGCACCATAGTGTACATGTAGCAAAGTCCTTTCCGATTGAGCTTTGCTACTTGTACACCAATTTTTAACACGTTGTTTGACACTTTCATTATTGTCAAGTGTCAATTGGATGGGAAAATTGTTTGAAATTTAAACTGTCCACAACAGGGTAATGTCACGTGGCAAACTGTAAGCTAAAGTGTACACCATAGTGTACACGTAGCAATGTTCTTACTGATTGAACTTTGTTTTGCATTATTGTCAAGGGTCAATTGGATGGGAAAACTATTTGAAATTTATACAGTCTAACGGGTAATGCCACGTGGCTAAGTGTAAACTAAAGTGTACACAATAGTGTACATGCAGCAAAGTCCTTACCGATTGAACATTGCTACTTGTACACCGATTATAAACATGTGTTTGACACTTGCATTGTTGTCAAGTGTCAATTGGATGGGAAAACTTTGCTATTTGTACATTAGTTTTTGACATATTGCTTGACACTTGCATTGTTGTCAACTGTCAATTGGATAGGAGAACTATTTGAAATTTAAACGGTCCAACAGGGTAATGTCACGTGACGAAGTGTAAACTAAAGTGTACACCATAGTGCAATGTAGCAAGGTCCTTACCAATTGAACTTTGCAATTTGTATATAGATTTTGGACATGTTGTTTGACACTTGCATTGTTGTCCAGTGTCAATTGGATGGGAAAACTTTTTGAAATTAATACAGTCTAATGGGTTAATGTCACGTGGAAAAGTACAAACTAAAGTGTACGACATATTGTACATGTAACAAGGTCTTTGCTGATTGAACTTTGCTATTTGTACACTGATTTTTAACACGTTTTTTGACACTTGCACTGTTGTCAAGTGTCAATTGGATGGGAAAATTATTTCAAATTTAAACTGTCCAACAGGATAATGTCACGTGGCAAAAGTGTAAACTAAAGTGTACACCATAGTGTACATGTAGCAAGGTTCTTGCCGATTGAACTTTACTATTTGTACACTGCTGTTTGACAAGTTATTTGACACTTGCATTGTTGTCAAGTGTTAATTGGATGGGAAAACTGTTTGAAAGTTAAACTGTACAGTAGGGTAATGTCACGTGGCAAAGTGTAAACTAAAGTATACACCATAGTGTACATGTAGCATGGTTCATACAGAGTGAACTTTGCTATTTGTACACTGATTTTTGACATGCTGTTTAACACTTTCATTGTTGTCAAGTGTCAATTGGATGGGAAAACTTTTTGATATTTAAACTGTCTGATATGACCCGGGAGTCGGGCCCGAGAAGGCAAGTGTGAGACGAGACCCGTTGATAGTCGATGGCGGACCAATGATGCAATCAAGGGCAAAGCAAGTGAAATAAGTGATGAGATTGCTCGTTCAAAAAACCATTGATGGAACCATGTTCAAGACTCAAAATGGAGCAACTTTCATGTTCGGGTCAAAGGCCGAATCAACTTGGATCAATTTGTTATCAAGTGACAAAACCGGAGGCTGAAAATAAGTCTATGTGACCGCACAAGCTAAAAGACCATGCGACCGCATAGGAGCTTACCGAAACTCAAAGGAGCCAGCCGGACTGAACCATGCGACCGCATGGAAATACAC